CTCTTTCTCACGAAACACACAAACAAAAAACCTTCTGGGGCCAACCTCATAGCACAGTGGTTAAGCCTTGTATGTAGGGAGCCAGATTCCACATGGCTGGCTGGTTCAAATCCCAGCCCCATCAGCTTGAAAAACACACTGGGCGCATGTGCACGAATGCCCACAATCCTGACGAAGTGGAGGAAATGGGAATGGAGACAGGGATTGCGGCACAACCACGTCCCCCGGGGGATGCTCGTGTGTGCGCTCGCGCGCTCGCTCTCGTGAACACACATGTCCTCTGGCAGTTAAAAAAAGCCTTTGGGTAATAACATCAGATAGTAAATAATTAAGTGCTACACTTGATCTTAGCCAAAAGGCCGAGAAGCGATAATAATTAAGTGCTGATCACCAATTGTTGACGTTCTGTCAGGAATTCCCAGAGAAACAGGAACTTCATCGGAACATGCTGGGACTTCTGGGCAACGTGGCAGAGGTGAAGGAGCTGCGACCTCAGCTGATGACTTCCCAGTTCATCAGTGTCTTCAGGTTGGTACTTCTCTCCTTTCCCTTTTTGCCTTAGCTGTCAGGATGCTCAGAGCCTAGAGTCAATGCTCAGTTGTGGCAACTGCTCTTGGCATAGGCAAATGTTACAAATGTTGCCTTCTTTCTATAATGTGGTTTCTTATTTTTCAACCCTCCATAAGTGATTTCTCATAATTGTATCTTTTTTTAAAAGAATTACTTTATTTAACTTTTATTTATTTATTTATTTTAATTTGACCAGAGAGGTATAGAGTGAGAGAGAGACAGAGAGGGAAAGTGAGAGAGCAAGCCGCCAGGTCTGGGACTTGAACTGTGGTTGACCATGTGGGAGTCCAGTGCCCTTAACCACCACGCCACCTGCCGGCCCCTCATAACTGTATCTTAAGTGACCTTGAATCCTTTTCAGAAGTGGTCTGGGTTTGTAAACAGTAAGTGGTAGGGAAATGACTACTGAATGCTACCTCTGGTGTCTAGTTTGTAAGCTGGGGTCCAGCAGCTGGTATCTGAGAGGACTCGGGAAGATCCCATTGTTCTCTCTTCCTCCTGGCAGCAACCTGCTGGAGAGCAAGGCCGATGGGATCGAGGTGTCCTACAACGCCTGTGGTGTCCTGTCCCACATCATGTTCGATGGGCCTGAGGCCTGGGGCGTCTGCGAGCCCCAGCGGGAGGAGGTGGAGGAGCGCATGTGGACGGCCATCCAGAGCTGGGACGTCAACTCGCGGAGAAACATCAACTACAGGTGCACAGCCCACCGGGCCGCGTCGGGCCACGTCTCGACACCTCTCTTGTCCCCTGAGGGTGTCGGCTCTTCCTCACTGAGGTGCAGTCAGCGTGTGGCATGGGGCGTAAGGGCAGGCCTCACCTTTCCAACCCGGGACCCTCTCCACACACGTCGGCCTGCGCCGCTGACAGGAGGAAGGTAGTGAGGAGACTTACCGCCCTCGCTTGGCCCGTGCACGTCACAGGCATGTTTTGAAAACCGTACTATATCCCATGGATACGGGGTCTTCAGACAGTTCATGGAAAACGCACACGACGAAACAATATGTTTCACATAATGAAAAAGTACGCGGTTCAAGTCCCAGACCTGGAGTCTTGAAAAATACACCAGGAGCATGTGCGTGCCTGCCCAAAATCCTGACAGCAGAATGGAGGAGAAGGGGTACAGTGTGGTCATCCCCCCGGGGGATTTCTCACTTTTCTTCTCCCTCTCTCTGGCAAGCACATGTGGACTATAGCAGAGACTAAATTAATTAATTAACTAAAAGTGTACACGAATTTCAAAATGTTTTGCACCTAAGTAAACTCTTATTTAATTATAATTTTCCACAAGCTTTCTGAAGTTCCCATGTATGTACAACTATTGTACATACATTCAAAATTTAAATTAACCATGTGGGGCCAGCAGGTGACATAGTGGTTAGGCCATTGGACTCCCACATGACTGACTGTGGTTCGAGTCCTGGACCTGGCAACTTGGAAATCATGCCAGGCATGTGTGTGTCCATGCCCAAAATGCCAGGAGGAGGATGGAGGAGATGGGATTGTGGCATATCCATTCTGCTGGAGGGGTGATTTCTCACTTCTCTCTCACGATCTGTGTCTCTGTCTCTATTTTTCTCTGGTTAGCACATACGTCCTACAGCAAAAACCTTAAAAAAAAAATTAACAATAACAAAAGCCAAGGCCCAGCCTCTGTGGTACAGTTGACGGCATGCCAAACTGTGGGCAGAAGCCACGTGTGTCTGCAGTTTGAATCCTTGGCCCCGTCCAGGACATGCCAGGGTGTGCACATGTGTCAGGGCCCTGGCGAGCCAGGGAACTAGAGGAAGGGGCTTGACGGTGTGCTCAGACACTCGGGAGAGTGCCTTTTCTCTCTGTCTGCCCTTGCACATGTGCACAGTCTATCATGCACAAAAGAAAGAAATAGGAAACAAAACCGAAATAACTCATAAGTGTGGAGAGCAGCCAATCTAAAAACATGTAGCCTGTAACACATGCAAAAACGCACTTCCATAAACTACTCTAACGGGGCTATTAAAAAGCATCTACAGGGACCAGCAGTTGGCGTAATGGCTATGTCGCTGGACTCCCACGTAGTCGACCGCAGTTCGCATCACTGACCCGGTGGCTTAAAACTCACGCCGGGCGCGTGTGCATGTGTGCCCAAAATCCTGAGAGGAGAATGGAGAAGAAGGGATTGCGGCGTGGCCATCCCCCATGGGGGGTGATTTCTCGCTTTCTGTCTCTCTGTCTCTGTCTCTCTGGTGAGCGCACGTGCCCTATAGCAAAAATCCCTCAAACAAAAAAAAAAGCATCTACATAGGAAAGCAGGACCTGCCTGTTGCCAGTGGCTGGCTTCCTTTTGTTGCCCCATACTGCCCAGTATTGAGCTAAAGGAAGTCACGTGCGTTTATCAGATTGTCCCCCCAAAAAGGCCAGAGAAATTATATGGCGCCAGTCATTTTCACATCTTCACACAATTGACATCCAAAGACAACTGGCTTTACATCCCAATTCCTCCCCCCTGACTCTCTGCATTCCACTTCCTTCTCCCATCCCTTTTACATCCCATTTTCTCCTTCCCCCATTTTCTGCCCTTTAAAAAAAATAAACCTAAGGCTGGTTCTGGTCGCAACTTCTCCGTCAAAAAAGCTGTGGCCACCCAATCCTCACTTTTCTATACTTGTATGTCTTTGTGTGCTTGTTTCCGCATCTATTCCTAATCCACAGCCTTCCCCACTCAGAGAAACGTGTTCTTGCCGAGCTGGTCCCGGCAGAGTGGCGCCCGAACGTGTGGCCGACACGTAATCTCAGTCCCGACGCGAGACCCTGTTATCACGTCGGTGGCCTCTCCCACCAGCTCTCCTCCAGTCAGATGTCCTTACTCTAAGTCAGACTGGCATCAGGTCTCACCATACGTGACTGAATTCCCAGTCACCAGGCATGGGCCACCCTCGTGACTGTGACAGGGTCACTTTCTACGTGCCACCACCGTGCCATGCTGGGAGGAAGGGCTTTGTGCTGAGCTGGCTGGTGCTCCCAGCACTGGCGGCCTGGGAGACAGGAAGTGGCGTTGCTGCCCGAGGCCTTGCATGTGCACTTTGGGGCCTGTGGCCCGTGACTCTGGGATGGCCTGTAGAAGGCCCTTGTAGAAGATGTAATCACACTTCTTCTGCTTCCTAGAAGGCCTCTCCCCTCCCGTCCCCAGGCTGCGTCCTCTTCCTTGCTAAGGACTCCAGCTTCCTGTCTCACCCGCTCTGTCCTTCCTGCCTCTCCCAGGGAACTGCCTGTGGCGTGGGCGCCATGTGCCCCTTCTCCTGGCACTGTCTGGCCTGCTCATAGTTTGTCCTGGGACCCTGCTCAGGGGGGGCAACTTCAGACAGAAAGACACGCCCCCGGGCCCAGCATCAGAAGTGACTCGAATCTCTCTTCCTGCAGGTCGTTTGAGCCAATTCTCCGCCTTCTTCCCCAGGGCATCTCTCCTGTCAGCCAGCACTGGGCAACCTGGGCCCTGTACAACCTCGTGTCTGTCTACCGTGAGTGCCCACTGGCCTGCCCTTGTTTAGACCTTCACCCAGAGGTGCCCACAAGGAACTTTTAATCCAGGAAGGGTGCACTGAGCATAGCCCTCGCTCCCCAGCATTTGTGGGGTGCCAGCGTGTAGACTGGGACCTGCCGCACCGGCAGACACAGGCCCTGCAGGTGAGAAGGCTTGCCTAGAGTTCCCGCGTAGCTCCTACTGTGTCCTGCCTCCAACAAGTGAACAACAAACAGCTCCTTGTCTTCTGCTTGACAGAATTCCACCAGGTGCTTCCAACCTGGCTGGTCACCCGAACTGCCTGATGGTGGTTTGTTAAAAAGGCAAATATGGGCCGGCAGATAGCATGCAGGTTAAGGCAGCTGGATCCCACATGGCCAAGTCTGTGGTCCTGGACCCAGTGTCTTGAAAACCACACTGAGTGTGTGTGCATGCATCCCCAAAATCCCAAGAGGAAAATGAGGAGAAGGGATTGTGGGGTGGCCATCCCCCCCAGGGGGGGGTGAGTTCTCGCTTTCTCTCTCACTTTCCCACTGTCTCTGGCATGCATGCATGTGTGCCAGATAGCAAAAATAAATAAAGAAAGAAAGAAGGCAAATGAAGAAGCAGAATGGTAGCACAGTGGTAACGGGATGCACTGTGAGGCTGACCCAATGGGAGGGTTCTCGGTTCGTGTCCCGAGTTCCCCCGGGTGTGCCTGCAGCATCAGGACCCTGCTGGGGCTGCTCACTTTCTCCTACACATAAAGGAACAAATAAAAAGAAGTGTTAAACTTCAAATAAGGCACACCATGGTGACACAGTGGCGACACAGCACTCTGCAATGCTGAAGCCACACGGGAAGGCCCTGGGTTTGGGAAGAAATAAGTAAACCTTTTTACAAATGCAAGTAAATACTGGCCCCGGGATCATGAAGTCGGAATCCTCGGGCAGAGTTTAAGAATCTAGTTTTGGAGATATTTTCCCTAGGATGAGCTCTGGGGGGAAATGCAGCCTTCCCCAAGGACCCCCCCCCCCACCGTTGGTGAACGCAGGAACTCCTGCCCACAAACGGCTTCTCCCCGGCCAGCAGTGCCCTTCCAGCCAGGCGTGAGCGTCCTCCTGCCCCACTTAGGGCAGCCCTTGCAGCAAGGGTGGGCGTCCAGGCTCAGGCCAGAAGTCCATCCTCATCTGCTGTCTGCCCTGCCCCACAGCCGACAAGTACTGCCCCTTGCTGATCAAAGAAGGTGGGATGCCCCTCCTGAGGGACACAATCAAGATGGCCACCGCCCGGCAGGAGACCAAGGAAATGGCCCGGTAAGAGACAAGCTGTGTGCTTCTGCCAGGACCTTGACTGGGGGTGAGGGCATGACGGCCCTCTGGTGGCAGGAACGGCTGAATGTGTGACGGTAGACAGTGTCACCATCCTACGGGCACTCTGCGCGCCACGGCCACGGCGTGGCTGGGACCTGATCGCGAGGCCTGCCAACAGCACCGCCAACCATGGCGGCTCAGCTGCTTTATTCCCATCACATCCCACATCTCCCCAGGCATCCGCAAGTCAGGTCAGACTCGTTCTTCATGGCCAGACTTCCGACTGGAGCAAGGGCTTGGTGTGAGGAGAGGCGTTCCGCGGTCGTGGACGGGGCAGAGTTGCAGGGTGCACGTGTTTCTGAGTGCGGTCATGGACGCGACAGGGTTATGGGCATTCCTTGCTGTGGGGATGTTTTTATAAACTAGTCGGGGTGACCTTATGCAGGAACATGATGATAGGGGTCAAGAGGCTTGTGGTCGGGAGTGAGATCAGCTCAACTCCAGATCCAGAGGGGACACTAGGGAGGTGTTGCCACCAAGGCAGGGGTCTGGGATGATAGAGACATCCAGGCATCCAGGGTGAGGAGTTCTTGTAAGACCAACCTAACGGCGTGCTTGCTGAAGGCAGGTGGCCATGGCCAGAGCCTAAGGAGGGCGAGTCTCCCTACACTGATTTAGCAGGATCCCACTGCTGTGGCTTGCCTGGGCTCGTCGTACCTCAGTGGGTGCACAGGACTTCAGAGCTGCCTCGTGTTGGAGCCAGCAGTGCCCCCCCCGCCCCGACTCCCCCGTGGGAGCACAGCCAGCTGTGCCCAGCAGACCCTCCTCACTCGTGTGGGACAGAAGGCGGCGGACTGGGCTCACGGCAGCTAGCTAGCTCTGCCATTGTTTTTGGCAAAGAGTACTGCTTAACCATGAGTTGACAGACTCGCCCGAGTTTGAGAATAGCTAGCGGTTCTCTGGGGCTGGCCAGGGCGAGGTGGTTAGAGGTAGATGGACCCACGTGACCACTACGTGGTTCCAGCAGCTTGAGGAACATTCGTGGCACATGTGTGTGCATGCCCAAAACCCAGGAGAGTGGGGGACGGGATTGTGGCATGGCCATCCCCCTGGCGGGGTGGTTTCTCAGTCTCTCTCAGCCCAGCATATAGGCCCTGTAGGAAATTAAAACAAAACAAAATTAGGAACCAGCAGGTGGCATAATGGCTACGTCGCTGACCATGATTAAAGTCCTAGACTCGGTGACTTAAAACTCTGGGTGCCCGGGCATGTGTGCGTGCGTACCCAAGATCCCGAGAGGAGGACGGAAGAGAAGGGACTGCAGCATGGCCATTCCCCCTGGAGGGTGATTTCTCGCTTTCTGTCTCTCTGTCTCTGTCTCTCTGTCTCTCTCTCTCTCTCTGGCGAGTACATGTGCCCTATAGCAAAAACCTCTCAAAAAACAAAACAAACAAACAAAACACTCACTCTGAGTGCTTGTGCGTGTGTACCCAAAACCCTGAGAGGAAAAATGAAGGAGAAGGGAGTGTGGCATGGTCATCCCACCTGGGAGCGGTTTTATGCTTTCTATGTCTCTGTCTCTCCTGTGAGCGCACATGCCCTATAGCAAAAGATCTCTCTTAAAAAAAGAAATTAATTGTAAAAATTAACAAAAGGGCTGGCAGGTGGTGTGGTGGTTAGGGGCGCTGGACTCCCACGTGGCTGATCACAGTTTGAGTCTCAAAGCTGGCAGCTTCTTTCTCGCTTTCTTTCTCTTTCACCCTGTGCCTCTCTGGTCATGTATAAATATAAATAAAATAATTAGTTAAAAATTGAATAAATAAAACGAGTGGTTCTCAAACTTAACATGCCTAAAGAATTACCTACAAAGTTAGGTAACAGTGAACAAGCCCCTGAGGCCGGCAGGTGGCGTGGTGGTTAAGAGCGCTGGACCCCCACGTGGCCGACCGCAGTTTGAGTCCCGGATCTGGCAGCTTCTTTCTCCTTTTCCGTTTCTCTGTCTCTCTCTGTCCCTCTCTGGTCAAATTAAAATGAATCAATAAAGTTAAGTACAATAATTCTTCGGGGGAAAAAAAAAAAAGTGAACAGGCCTCATCCCAGGGATGAGGCCAAAGGGTCTTGAGGACCTGGAAATAGTCATGGCTAACAGGTGTCCCAAGGGGTGTACGAGGCCCTGGGCAGCACTGGCCGTAACTTGCCCCATCACTTGGAATACTCCTCTAAGGCCTGAGACCTGCATCTGAGCCCCTGGCCTATCTGACAGACGGGAACGACCCTGGAAAACACTTGCAGAAGGCATTTGGCCTGTCCCCAACTCCCTGCCCCATGCTGGGCATTTATTTCCTAAAAGGCATTGGGACAGGGGCCAGCAGATGGCATAGTGGTTGCATCGCTGGACTCCCACATAGCTAACAGTGGTTCACGTCCCGGACCCAGCGGCTCGGAAATCACAGATGTGTGCGCCTGCGTGCCCAAGATCTCAGGAGGATGCAGAAGAATTGCGGCTTGGCTGTCCCCCCTCCCAGGGGTGGCTTCTTATCTTCTTCTCACTGTCTCTGTCTCTCTCCCCAGTGAGCATATGCGCCCTAAGGCAAAAAAAAAAAAACTTATAAAAAGATATTGGGGCACACCGAGACTGTGGTGAACCCCCAACCCAGAGTCTTAGTGTTGCACAAGCAAATGGCCAAGGTAACACCTGACAGTCCCTAAAGGTCAGATGGGAGTAGGAGACTCAGACCCAGGCTAGAGTGCGGGGCCCGGCAGCCTTCAGGATGGGCCTCGTGCAAGCACGGCGGCTCCCCCATCCCCAGTCTGCCACTGGATCAGGATCTCTGGGTGAATCTCATGGCTGTTTTGGACCACGAGTAGACTTTGGGAACGAGGAAGGTCTGGTGTGCAGGGAAGATGTAGGCTCTAAAGGGTGCCGGCCCAGAGCATGGTGGTTGACGGGGCTCGATCCCACACGGCTCAGCACAGGTAGATCCCCAGCCCCAGCAGCCTGAAAACCATGAGGGGCATGTGCGCATGCCCCAAATCCCAACAGGGTGGGAAATGGAGACGGGAGCGTGCACGCACCCTCTGCAGTGGAAAGGGA